CGAATGATGGCAAGGGAGTAGGAGAGAAGTCTTTATCAATCTACACAACATGAGGTGTGGGATAGGACATGGGTGAGTGGGTTTTGTCTCAATGAGACTCCCCATCCCCATCCTCCGCACAAGCCAAATTGGTGTGGCCCCCCTCCCTTATTTTTGAGTCAAATTAGTGTATAGGATACCCCAAGTGGGTGTAGGAAGTCCCTCCCAATTATTCCTGCTATTTTCGGTAGGTCGGGCCAAAATGGCATTCGGGTTGTCCAAATATTTTTATCAACTTTGGTTGGCACTTTATTGGGCTTCTATAATTTTCACGATGACCCAACTAAATATTTGGTAGCCCAGTCACATATACTGGACCCGATAAATAATTTAATTAATCGCACATTAATTAAATATGCCAATCAATTACACGAATTTTATTCGTTAGGAAATTCGAATACATATCAAATTCCAAATTCAAGTACATCCGGGTGCGGTGTCACAGTCTGATAGGGAAAGGACTGCCCAACTCAACCGGATTGAGACCCTTTGTTCAAACAATAAGCAGCAGTTTGAGGCTCTTACTTGTACTGACAAGGAAAGGTACACTAAACTCATCCAACTGGAAAGCCATACTCAAACCATAGCTACTGACGTTGAGAAACAGAAGAAGCTCCTTGACTCCCTGGCTGCAGTCACCACTGTTATCCCCACGGCTATTGAAGACTTGGGTAAAGCTCATGCCTCAGAATTTGAGAAAATCAGCATCCTCCTACAAGATCTCCATGATGCCAAAAAGGGGGAAGAGAACCCACAGCCGGCTCAGCAGATGCAGCTTGTCAGGACATCTACACCTGATCCTACACCATATTTTGAACAGCTGAGACTCAAGAAGAAAGCTGCTGCTGGCTCCTCTGCACAGCCATCTATTCCAGCCCCTCTGAAGAAAAGTACTAAGAAGAAGGCCCTGACCTTCTTAGATTGGAGAAAGGAAGGCTCACTGAAGATAACCAAAGCCCAGTATGAAGAAATCAAGAAGAAAATGACTCCAACTCAACAAGAGAACATCTTTCTTGATTCTGATGGGTCTCTGAGAGTTAAGCATGGTGGCTCTTTTGAAGAGGCAGAGAACTGGTTTGCCAGGAATGTTCTGCCAGGAAACTCTGTTGAAGAAGCCATTCTTCACTATCTGAACTGCAAACTCTCTCCAGTCTGGGCATCTTTTCAAGAGTCTGGACATCTATCAGTGATAAGAGCCAAGGTAAATGCAGAACTGAAGTCATTCGATGAAAGAGAAGCAATTGCACTAAGAACAGCTTTGGGAGAAAATCTGTAAATGTAACCTTCCTACCCCTCTGCTCAATAAAATCTTTTGCTTGCTCTTCTATTCTCTCTCAATTTCTTTGTTTTATGCTTTTATTTGTTTGATTATATGCGTGATTGATTGTAATGAACTCTTGCTGTTTTCCTATGACAAGTGTCCACCAAGATTCTAAATGAAAGTTTCCTTTTCTTACTTATTTTCCTTTATGGTGGAAGGCACTTCTCTGGAAATAGCTTAAGGGTTTTGGCATCATCAAAAAGGGGGAAATTGTAAGGAATAATTGTATTTAGATTTTGATGATGCTAAACAGATTAGAACATTAGAGTACCCCCATTAGCTATGATGTATTAGATTTTTCTCCTTGTAAGTACATTTTAGAATAGTCAACTGTCAGAAGACCTCGAGAACCTCTGTTGAAGTTCTACCTAACAGAATCGCTGTTGGTCTTCTACTCCTCAGAAGTACCTATGGTATTCTGTTGGACCTTCTCTAGTCAGAAGAGCTCGAGACCCTCTGTAAACCAGCAGAAGATCAGACACTTAGAAGTTTTTGACAAATACTTCAACGGAAGATTCCCTCAACGGCTAGCTCACACTCAACGGAAATGCTACAGGACTGCATTTAATGCTCAGTTAATGAGCTCCATGCTCCAAAAAGTAAAAGCTGATGATTGACCGAGATTCCTGGAAAGCCTATCCCAAAATAGCAAGCCGCCAAACTTGCGGGCCCAGCCGGTCAACTCAAACTGTATGCGCATTTAATGTAGTTGTCTCCTCCTCCAACAGGAAGACAACCTCAGTATAAAAGATACTACTCGAAGAACAACCAAGTAACTTTTGCCACAACTTGTGCTCTATTTACAAAAAGCCTTCTTGAGATTCAACACTCCAACTTCATCAACAAGAAAGGCCTACGTTGGGAAGATCATAATTTCATATACTCTTCATCACCAACAAGGGCAAAGTTCCTACTGTTCTTCAACTCTTCAAGCACCTTATTACAAATCTTTTGTGACGAAGCAAGTTGGAGAAAACTCTGTTTTCAACAGAACATCTTCTGCAAAGAAGGACGTCTTAAAGTAGCTCGAGTAGTGAAGTGGAGATACTTCAAGGAGACTCAGTGAAACAAGACCAGTCTTAAAGGAAGCAAGGAAGTGCATCCCAGGAGACATCTAGACTTGAAGAAGACGTGGAGAGCTTCTTAAGTTCTAGGGACTAAGGCGTTGTAACCGTTGCTTTACAAGCTCAGTGGAACAGTGGACTAGAGGAACGAGTTGTTCCTTGAACCACTATAAAAATCCCTGGTGTTATTTACTTACAGCTTTTATTTCTTGCAAACTGATTAACTCCAAAGAAGTGGTATCTGTGTTCAGCAGAACACCTCTAGTGAGTTACCAGAAGGCCAAGTGCCTTTACTCTTCTGTGAGGCTATCCCGACAGAACACTTACCAGAAGATCTCCGCTGCCAGTCTGTTCTCAACAGAACAGACTATTCTGTTTACCTTGGTACTTGACTGGAAAAAGTTAAAAACCATAACAGTCTATTCACCCCCCCCCTCTAGACTGTTACCAGATTAACCGGGACCAACAAAATGCGATAATTGTCTGAACGAAGCTTGCTCTCCTATAACATTACTACATATTTGGCACACGTCATTTATATTTGTATAACATAAGTTACATACTTGATATACAAATTGTTGAGGTTAAGTCCCGAAGGTCCAAAGGTCTAACACAACACCTTGGGCTGCGCTTTTGTAGGATTCCTTTTTATGGTTGATTTAGTAAATGTTTAAGGCAAGGATGAGACAGAAATGATAACAAGTACTCCCTTCGTCCCCTTTTAAATGTCCCGTTTTACCATATTGGGATGTCCCTATTTAATTGCCTCATACCTTATTTGGTAAACTTTGTGTGGCTCAAAATCATTCTTACTTTATTCTTACTTTATCAATTAATATCAACCACACAAACTCACTTTTCTTAAAACTCGTGCCATCATCTCCCATCCCATTTAAAAGGGGACGGAGGGAGTAAGTCTGATGTTAAGTGGGTCCAGTTCTATTAAGTGTCGAGAATGATTGCAATAACTCTGTGGAGCTCGATCGCTATCTAATCCCTTAGATCAAGGTGAAGAGTACAAAAGAAATAGAGAGAACTATGTTGCTAAATATACATATTTGACAATCCTTTATAGAAAAACAGTTTTAACCATATATATTTTGATTATTACGTAGTACAATTCAACCAATATTTTAACTTCAACCAATTAAGCTGAAAGTGAGTTAACTAAATGGGCTATAACTTAAATTTCCCTAGTTATACTCTTGGAAACCCATCTAGTAGTTAATCATATTAATAATTTAATATATTTATCACATAAACTAATGATGAAGGTAGTACATTAATAACATGAAATTAATATATTTTCAATGAAGCAAGAAACATTACGAGCCCGTTTGGTAGCACGAAAATTAGGTTGATTTAGCCGATTCTGCTGAAATTTTTAAAGATCTAGCTGAAGTAACTGCATGGGCTTATTCTATCGATTTAGGAAAAAATTATTTTTAAAATATATTTTATTAATAAAATAAAATAATGAAATAGTTATATGTAAAAATAACTAAAATGGTCATTTACAATAACTTCATCCAATACAACTCTAATCTAACCTTTTCTGCTTATTATACAATTAGGCGCGCGAAAGTAAAAACAATTTAATTTCTAAATGAAATGGTTGAGAGGCTAGTGCGCCCAAAGAACCATCGTATCCGGCGTTGAGCTATCCGTTCACCAAACAGGCAAACACTTCTATAAAACTGTTGATGTTATTATTTACTTCGTACTATAGGACAACAAGCGATGGCACTGAGATTCTTTCCAAAGAATAACAAAAAAACAAAAAGTTGATGGAAAATATATAGTCCTTCGAAAGAAAAAGCATATACTCCCTCCGTAACTTTAGAATCTTCCCATTTCAAAAGTAGGTAGATTAAGAATAGTGAAAGATGATATGAATTATTGAGGGTATGATGGGAAAATAGTGGAATAATGTGGTGGAATGTAGGATAAATCCAAAAAAAATAGTTGTAATAGTGTACTATTTTAAGAATTATTGAGGGTATGATGGGAAGATTTAGAAATGGGAAGATTTTTGTGTTACGGACGAAAAAGGAAAGTGGGAAGATTTTTAAGGTACGGAGGGAGTACATATGGAGAAAAAGGTCAAGATTCCGGGAAAGAAAAACATAACCCTTCGGACAATTCCTCGTAAAACACGTGGTAAAATGCCCCGTCGTTTGTCATTTTCCGACGGTTTCGTCCCTCTCCCTCCATTTCGTTTTTTAAAAAATGGTGGGTAAATATAGAGAAAATACTAATAATCCACTGACTGACTGACCCTGTTAATCAGTAACAAATACGAGCATTATTAGCACTAAATACACTCTAGAGTCTATACTGTGCACAGAAAAATATACGCCAATTCCATTTCCCATTGTTTTCACTTTTCAGATTATTGAAAAAGAAAGTTTTAATTTTTCTCGTACTCTGTTTAAGTTGGGTAAATTTATTATGCTTCTGTAAACAAGCAACTGTTGCTTCCTTTTTCACAGTGCAGTTGTACGAATGATTCCGTGTGGACGTAAGCTTTTTCTGCTGTTTTTTGAGAGAGAAAATTTGTTCTGATCCCACAACCTGCAAAAGGGTATCAGCTATAACACGCAGGATTTAAGAACAGTTCCTAGTCCGGGAATCAAGAGAAGGAGGGAGAGAAAGGGAAACAAAAAAACAAAACACAAAAGAACTCATCCGAGGAGAGGAAACAGAGAAATAAAGGGCAAAGATGGGTCTTTTTTCTTTACCCCCAATACCCTTCTCTCTGCGTATCTATATGATGATGACAGCTTTTGTTGAAAGGTCGGTTTCTTTTAAATTTTATGACGAAAAGCAAAGAGAAATAGTGGTAGTAGTAGGGAGCAATTGATGAAAACTGAAAAGTCCGACCACTCATGCTTCGGTCCGCGTGCTTTTGATGCAAGGATGACCCGACCCATTTCCCTTTTTCAATGCCCTTTTCCTGTTTTCACCAGTTTGTTGATAGATTCTCATTAGAGAGCAGAGAAGCCCCACTTAGGTTATTTTCTCTTTCTCTTTGCAGACCCCTTTTTGCAGGGGCGTGTTTGTTTGTTTGTTCCTTGGTCTTGGATCTTTTGAACGCATGCTCTTCATGTCCAATCAGATCCTCTGAGGTGTTCTTTCCCTCATTTTTCTCTCCTTTCATCCAAAAAATAATAATGCAAAACTCAGCAGACAATGGACGGTCTTGGGAAGGAAAAGTTGTGACCTTTTTAATGGGGGGGCTTAGGAGGCTGAGGGATTGAAGTAAAAAGAGTGGGAATAGGGAAAAGGAAGAGTCTTTATTCTAAAAAATGGGTTCTCTTGGAGGGCAGTCAACACTTGTCGAAGAAATGAAACTGTTGAAAGAAATGCAGGATCACAGTGGGTTGAAGAAGAAGAAACGCATAATAAATTCAGAGCTATGGCATGCATGTGCTGGGCCTTTGGCCGCTTTGCCTCAGGTTGGGAGCCTTGTCTACTACTTCCCACAAGGACACAGTGAGCAGGTTAGAAACATCTTTTGATGATCTTGAAGTGATGGTGATTTTGTTAATCACATGGTTAAGTAGTATTATGTGCAGCTAATTAATTGATTGAGGCCTTATTGGAACAGGTTGCAGTTTCCACTAATAGAGCAGCAACATCCCAAATTCCTAATTACCCGAATCTTCCATCTCAGCTGTTGTGTCAAGTTCACAATGTTACACTGCATGTAAACTCCTATTATACTTTCATAAGCATTTCATTTCTTTCTGTTTATGCAAATATTGTTCTTTTAAACAAAATGTTAAGGTGGTGTCAACAAAAAAACAATGTTAAGGTTGTCTGTGTTTATTCTATATGATTAAAGTTTTTTTCCTCGTTTTTTTTTTCATTTTTAGGCTGATAAAGAAACAGACGAGATCTATGCCCAGATGAGCCTTCAACCTGTGAACTCTGTAAGCTTCGCTAAATAATTAATAGAGTACTATTATTCACTCTTTCCATCCCCCCAAAAAGTGTTTACTTTTGGTATGGCCTTCAAAACATTTTTGTTGCTTTAACTAAATATATCCTTTATGACTTATGTCCCTTGTTTGTGAGTCTTTTTTGCAGAAAGTTACAGAAAACAACTTCTTAGGTTCAAACACAATGTTTTTTTTTTTTTTGGTTTTTTAGGGGGTGGAAAGAGGAACCCTCTTTTGGGGTGGACGCCATATAAGTTTTGCTATTTGACAAGTTATGAAGAGTAAAAATAAATAAAACTCTGCTTCTTAATTTATCAGGAAAAAGATGTGTTCCCAATTCCGGATTTTTGTTTGAAACCAAGCAAGCATCCGGCAGAGTTCTTCTGCAAGACATTGACTGCTAGTGACACAAGTACACATGGCGGCTTTTCCGTTCCAAGACGAGCAGCTGAGAAACTATTTCCTTTATTGGTAAGCTGCTGGGTCCCATCTCTCGCCGAACCTGTGGAACTTTGTTCTACTTTCTATGGATTTTTTAGTTAACGTTCACTTCTCTATTGTAGGATTACTCAATGCAACCTCCAACTCAGGAGCTTGTTGTTCGAGACTTGCATGATAATACCTGGTCTTTTCGTCACATATACCGTGGTATACATGCTGTGTAGTTATATATCTTTTCTTTTTCATGGATACCATTCTTAGTGTTTCAAGGATTTATTATAGGTGTTAATTTTGCCTGTTTTGATGTATAGGGCAGCCTAAAAGGCACCTTCTTACAACAGGTTGGAGTATGTTTGTCGGCGCAAAGCGGCTTAGGGCTGGTGATTCTGTTCTGTTTATCAGGTAATGAACGGACCGAGTTCTTGAATATTTTTCATTTTTTCTCCTCCACATTTGAAACTAGGGAAAGTTGGTTCTGGGATGTTATACATTATATTAAGACCCAATCACCGTTTTATTGCTCTCAGAGGAATGTGTGTGTTTGATGTACGAGTGCAGGGACGAAAGGTCTCAACTGTTGGTTGGGGTGAGGCGTGCAAATCGTCAGCAAACAACATTGCCCTCATCAGTTCTGTCTGCTGATAGTATGCACATTGGTGTTCTTGCTGCTGCTGCCCATGCTGCTTCCAACAGAACTCCTTTCACAATCTTTTACAATCCTAGGTTTGCTCTACAACCCTCTTATGTCTCTTACGGCTTGTTTGGTTTAAGGATTTTAGTGGTGAGGGAAGAGAGGATATGATACAACTAGAATCTTATACTATAAATAGCTATACGTTTAGTTTCTATTTTGATGTACCTAAAAAAGCTCTATGTCAAGTTAAACAATGTTTTCTGTATATTTTTTCAATCTTACTTTCCTTCTGAATCATCTAAATGTTAGAATAAATTAAAACATGAATATCACACCTTCTCTCCCTCCACTCTGAAACTTCTGAACCAAAAATGCCCTAAAAGTAAAGACATTCTCAGAGCCTGCCCTTCAAAAATTATACTTCGTATGAAATTGCCCAATCTTTCATATGTTAGATGAATCACTCTACTAAGTTTTTACCCACCTTTTGTCATTCATCTTGATATATGCAGAGCCTGCCCTTCAAATTTTGTTATACCGTTGGCCAATTACCGGAAATCCTTGTATGGAGCACACTTATCCCCTGGTATGAGGTTCGGTATGATGTTTGAAACGGAGGAATCTGGAAAACGCAGGTTTGTAGCTCTCATATTGCATCAATTCTTTGTTGATTCATTGTTTTTTGCTTTCATCTTTTATGCAAGTTTGGTACAATGCTGTGGGTATACCCTTTGTAGGTATATGGGCACAATTATAGGTTTAAGTGACATAGACCCATTGAGATGGCCCGGCTCCAAATGGCGCTGCCTTCAGGTGATTGATGAACTGATATTAATCGTATTATGATAGTTTAAAGAAAATATGAGAAATACATGGCTAAAGTAAAAAAATGGAAAACATGACTTTTTAACATGTGGGACCCAAGTCGAATTTTCGCGATGACTGTAGTGAAGTCACTATTATTTAATTTTAGATTGTAATGACCACAATGGTATTTCACAATTGACTATCGTAAACACGCAGTCATGTTTTTATTAACTAGTTCTCACTTGGTTATATCATTATAACAAAACTTCCACACGTAATTATTATAAGAATTACCAGAAATTTACACCCATGGCTGTGAAAAAACAGGTGGAGTGGGACGAGCAGGGATCAGGTGATAAACAGAATAGAGTCAGTCCTTGGGAAGTAGAGACACCCGAAAGTCTCTTCATTTTCCCATCCCTCACGTCTGGTCTCAAACGATCTTTTCAGTCTTCTTTTCTTGGTAAGTTTGGTTCTTAGCTCTTTCCTTGGAAAGTCCTTTTTATTCAGTGTTTAGTTGTTTGGTTAAAAAAGCTATAATAAAATCCTCAAATTAACACATTATTATGATTTGAATCAGGAACGCAAACCGAATGGAACAGTTTGGTCAACCGACCATTTATCCGAGGTCCTGAAAACATATGTGGGGATATTCAGTTCCCTTCGATCTCAAATACATGGTCTGATCAAGTAATGAAAATGCTATTAAGGCCCCAAGAAACAATGGCTCAAGAAGAGACTACTCTTATCAAGTCAACCATGAAGCATAAACCCGAGGAAGCAATTACTATGGAAGAGACTTCATCTATTCAGAGCGAAAGTAACAACAGTATAGTCAATGAACCCATAGTTCCTTTGCAGCAAAATGACATGGCAAAACCAGAAACTACTATAGTGACCCCATCAGATCAGCTTAGTCATTTTCAGTCTTTTGGTCACTGCGATGAAGAAAAACTACCACCCTTTACTCCCACTAATGCTGCAAATGATCAAGGAGGAAGCCCATGGGCCCTACCACCACAATTTGACGACCCGGAGTGCTTTCTGCAATGCCCTGGGGATACCAGGGAATGGAATTCATATCTCCCTCCCACGGGTCAAGAATTGTGGGATAGTCAGTTGAATGATTATAGTTGTCTTAATTTTGACGGTAGTAACAATGGAAGTGCTGTGATTGACCCTTCCGTTTCGAGCGTGGTTCTGAATGAATTCTGCAACTTGAGAAATGGCGGACTACAAAATCCAGCAGAACTATTAGTGGGAAATTTCACTTCAAGTCAGGATGTACAATCCCAGATTACTTCATTACAAGATTTTGCTGACAACTCGGGTGGCGCATCCTCCAGCAATGCGGAGTTTGATGAGAGCGGTCTTTTGCAAAACAGATCATGGCATCAGTTGGGACCCCCACCACCACGTGTACGCACATACACAAAGGTATATATCTATATAATTTGGATCAAATGAGAAGAGTGCTTACAGTAACAAATGAGAATACATTTAGTGCGTTGAATTTGAGATCCAATGACACTAAAAGTGTCAATAATGCTAAAGTGATGAGTTGTGTGGGGTCATTTTAATAATCAACTGAATTTTATCTATTATCTAGCAAAAAGAAAATCTTGTAAAAGTGCATTGGTTAAACATAATAGTGTATGAAAAGAAATAAAATGAAAAATTTGCATTTCTAACGTTAAAACTCTATTTTTGGAATAACTATATATGTATGAAGTTGCTAATCATATATTCGACATTAACATCCCCCTCAGTTCAAAACTGACGAACAACTTGAAGGGTTGCTAATGGGTCAAACCAATCGCAAACAGGTTACCCATATATATAAGGGTCTAACAAAACAAATGAAAATCCCAATGAGATGAGGCTGTAATACCTCAGTAAATTGGGCTTTAGTCACCCCAAAAATGAGTTTTACTTCACACTTTTCTATTGGATATATTTCTAGTTAATGCTCAACGTGTGACACTCATTGTGTTAATAATAGCTATCTTTGTTGTTTTCCATTGTTGACAGATTCAAAAGGCGGGTTCTGTAGGAAGATCAATTGACGTGTCCAGTTTTAGTAATTATTATGAACTGCGTTTGGAAATCGAAAGGATGTTTGGACTTGAGGGGCTGCTAAATGAGTCGAAAGGCTCTGACTGGAAATTGGTCTACGTGGATTTTGAGAATGATGTTCTTCTCGTTGGTGATGACCCCTGGGAGTAAGTTGTTCTTACAGCTAATGACATTCTTGTTTTGGCTATGTTTGATTACGTGAAAATAACTTAATGGTTTATGATTTTTTCATGGCAGAGAATTTGTGGGCTGTGTGCGGTGCATAAGAATACTTTCGCCATCTGAAGTTCAGCAGATGGGGGAGGAAGGAATGCAGCTTCTCAACGCCAATGCTATGCAACAAGCCGGTCGTGTCTCTTCACTCTGATCCATTTGTTGCCTATCAAGGGAAATGAAAGATCAGTTCTTTCCTTTTTTTCACCTGACTTAGCTGAACCATTGTTGTACCATTTAGCTGTCAAATCTGTATTCTAGCAATTGTCAAATATTTGTAAGAATTGCTCTTTTGATCCAAGTATTTACATTTGGGTAGTTGTTTGGTAGATCCTGTTTGAAGTATTTCAACTTATCAACCAGTTTTTTTACCAACATTATGCTCGTTAAATTTGTTAATAAATAATAATGAAAATATATGGATAAAGACATTTACCCATTTTGGCTTCAATTATCATTTCAACTTTATACTTTTTTCTATCTATCAGGATTCCATCAACTTCAACCAAACTCACCGCCCAAACAACACTAATTGTGTTTTATTACTTCGTATTTCATTGAATGCCTGAAACATTACAATTTTAGTTCTATATATATAATGGTTCTTTCCGGGACGTGTAAATGTATTTGGATCCACCTTGACCCATGGAGCAATCAGTGGGTCTGTCAGACCCAATAGGCTAAACCCATCACAATGGATCTCCATAAATTCTCTCAAATATGAAGAAAAAATGGAATTGTTGCATTGTTCTAAACTCTGACCGGTTTTTGAAGCACAGCAGACAGATAAACCTCGGGCTTCCCAGAACCGTTGATCTTCTCACCCACAACCCACTTCAACTTCTTGTACCCGAACCTTTCAACCAAACGGGTCAACCCATTCTTTTTCTCTTCACTAGAGCAGAAGAAATTATCAACCCAAAGTAATCCGCCGGCCCTCAGAATCCGATCAACGTCAAACATCAAGAACTCCAATTTCTCCGGTCGGCCGCCGACGTCCAATCCATTGCCGGCCCGGATCAGATCAAACACGTTATCCTGGAACGGGAACCGTTGATCCAGGCTAGAGTAAATGGGGAAAAGTCCTCTGGAAGCAATGAAATCGCTGAACGGAGCGTCGACGTTGAGAGTTGAGGTCACGACGGTCAAACCCATCTCCGCCATTCTCGCGGCAAATGTTCCCGAGCCACCGCCGATGTCAAACCCGACCCGGATTACACTGTTACGGTTCTTCGCCATCTCCAGCACATCATCAATCAGGAAATCGGTCTTCCCTCTGGGTTTAACGTACTTCAGAGTCTCATAACCTTTGACTAAATCGAAACAGCCGCCGCAATCCCTGTTCAGCTTCTTGGAATTCAAACAGGAGAGGCTTTTGCAGGAAAGGCCACTCCAAGTTAGACCCTTTTCTGGCTTTTCAGTTATGTTCTTCTTCCAAACCCAGAGAGAAGCAGGAAAAGGTTGCAAACCCAACTTAGGGGTGATCTTGGAAAGACACCTTCTCCTTGGTAAAGGCTCACATCCCTTGAGAATCAGATCCTGACCATGACTCCAGTCGTCCGGGCAGTGCCCGTTGACTTTATAGGTCATGAACTTAGTCAGCAAATCGGCAGATTTGTGACAAGAATGAGCAACGGAGGCCACCATTTCAGTGATCCCAGTCCTTGAATCTTTCCCTAGAGGGAGTGGGTGGGGAAGAAGGAAGGTTTTCAGTTCATCTGAGACGTTTGATCTGGAAAGATCGAGGCTTTCATAGCCCAGGAGCTCTTTCTGCATCTGTGAGAGCTTCCTCTGAGAGAACTCAATCTCTCCAAGGATCAAGGAGAGCTGTTGAGAGACTATAGAGATATCTTCATTGTTGTGATGGGTCTTTGGGAAGTAAGTGAAAGCGAAGAGAGCAAAGATGTTCGTTGTGATTACTGAGAAGAGGATAAACAGGTTCAGAGCGGAGGAACAAAGTGAAGATCTTCTGAATCTCGCCGTTCCGGTTCCAGTTTTGAGAGAGACGGAGCCCATCTCCTTCACTCTCTGTTCTTTACCAGCGAAGGCAGAGTGCGTGGATGGCAAACAAAGGAGGGAAGAGCTGGAGTTGGAATAATGAAAGTTGGAGATTCAATCATTGTCGGTGGATCCCAGTGAAGGTTACCATCACTTGTTGCAAGGATGGTTTGTCGGCGTCTCATTTTCTTGTTTGACTTTGACTTACCCACAAGGTAAAACTTAGAATAACAATGCTTTATGTTCCCATTTTTATACATTGTAAATGTTTTTTATTTTACAAAAAAACCTTTCACAAACATAAGTGTGTACAAAAGTGGATATAAGAGTGGATACAAATATCATTTTTGAAATAAGAATTCTTAAAATTTATGAAAAGATAAATAAAATACTCATGCCACTTTCAAGATTCATGCAGTCAACAGATTCATCTTTTCAGTTTTCATGTATTCAATTCTTTTTATCTTGCGAATCCCTCTGATTTTGAATATAGACTATCTACCCTGTGAATGTAAACTTTAATTTATTATTAGGAATTAGAGGTAAAATTTTAAAAGTTCGTGGACTTTTAAAAGTCTATAGTGAATACACCCAGATTTTTGTATACTTTTAAAATCCATGGACTTTTAAAATTTTACCACTAATTCCTAATACAATAAATTAAAGTTTACATTCATAGGATAGATAGTCTATAGCATTAAATCAGTGCACTTCTGGTACGTTGTCAGTTAATCATTAAGAAAAATTTTTAACTATTAATGTGTTTAATCGTTAAACTGCTAACACATAAAAATATAATTTCAAATTACTTGATATTTAACATAAATAAGTACACAAAATTTAACAAGTTAACAATGAAAAGAAAATAATTATTAAGAAGAAAACCTCGATTGCACTTATGTTTGTACCACGTGTAGCAATGCGTGTAACACTTGTGTAATTATCAATGTTTTTTACTTTGTTACTCTTTGGGTTGTATAAGGGAGTATAACAATCGATCATAAATAGATCGAGATTGTTGAGCATTCTCAAAACTTTGAGTTTCTTTTTAACAAAAATAAATTTGAGTTCTTATGCTTCATTTATTCTTGTAGAACTTTGTGTTGCTGGATGAATTACACTTGTTTCATTTATTTACTTATTTATTTGATTGTTTTTTGTCATATTACACATAGGATATTACTCATGGTAGAACTAAAACATACGATGTAGCATTTTACCAAAGTATGATCATACGTTTGATTTTCTTTAAATAAGACTAAATATTACATTTCTACCCCTAATATTATTAATTAATATGATTAATTTTCCATATTTCCCTTACATAACCAAAGTCATTTTGTTGGCGCCTAACTCCAGTGACGGAGGCAGACATGCAAATCGGTAGTGGCAATCTAGGTGAAATTCGGACTACCGACAGTGGTAGTCCAGATTTAAATGTCAATAGAGTTCATTCATAAAAAATATATGGATTTAAAAGTCCACATACTTTTTTTTAGAAGTCCATGGATTAAAAAAAGACCACCACAATCCATTTTCAATACACCCCCTTAATTTTCAGTCATTTATGTTTTTAAAAATGAGTTTTTCAAAAAAGATCCCTGAAATGAAACATATTTATAAAATCTATATTACAGAGTAATAATTACTAACTTGCTATAATATAATTTCATAAATATCTAAGTATAAAAATTGAACATACATTACTGTGATTAAATTACTATTGTAATCACTACACTTAAAAGGTCATATTTTTGTGAGTAACATATATTATAGTCATTAAAAAAAGACCACCACAATCCATTTTCAATACACCCCCTTAATTTTCAGTCATTTATGTTTTTAAATATGAGTTTTTCAAAAAAGATCCCTGAAATGAAACATATTTATAAAATCTATATTACAGAGTAATAATTACTAACTTGCTATAATATAATTTCATAAATATCTAAGTATAAAAATTGAACATACATTACTGTGATTAAATTACTATTGTAATCACTACACTTAAAAGGTCACATTTTTGTGAGTAACATATATTATAGTCATTAAATTAAAACTATAGTTGTCTTTTTAAACCATCCATGATAAATTAGAAGTTGTTATTGATAAATTAATTTTTCAGTCAATCATTCATTGTACATTTTAAATTGCAAAATTGGTTGGGATATAGCTCGTAAACTACAGTATTGTTTGTATCACAAAAATTTGGAACAGGAAAAATGTTAGGGAAGAAAAGAATACCGGAAACGATAGAAGAAATTAGAGGGATTGTTAAGAAAAAAAATTACATTACTTAAAAATCAATAAATTATGTTTACTAAATTGGTGACTTAGTCCTATTTTTGCAAGAAAATTGTATTTTAATCTTAGCTTAGACAATTTTCTCTAATTTAATGATATGTTGGGTTCAAATTAATATCTAAAAAAATGATTTACCTAAATAGGACTAAAAATTAAGTAAGAAAGTGTAGACGTATGAGTGTATGACTCCCAAATTTGATAGGACTACAAGTGCAATGATTTGACAAAATTAGTCTTGATGAAAAAATGAATAATTAAACCATACTGCTGCATTACACTATAAGGCTGCCCACAACCCTATGGGTGAAAAAGCTAATTTTGAGGTTTTGACTCTCATTTTTGCTACAAACCATGTATTTATGGGTGTCATATTGTGGTAGATAGCACGGATGGAGTGGGAATTGAGAGGCACATTCACAGAGAGAGGCCATTACACGAACAAATTACTCTCTCCGTCCCGCAAAATAGTTCCCAGTTTTCTTTTTGGGCTGTCCCAAACAATAGTTCCCATTTCTCTTTTTGGGAAGTTTTGTGTGGTTACCATTCATTTACTTTTTCCTTACTCAACCACAATCATACATTTCCACTTTATTCTCACTTTCTTAAACTCCGATCCAAATCCTAGTGGGAACTATTTTATGGGACGGAGGGAGTACTAAGCTCGTGATTCTCTAGCAATGCGGGCTAGGAATATAAAAAAACCCAAAAATCTATTATAACTTTTTTACTTGTAAAGTTGTAATCCATTTTTTATAAAATTATATCAATATTCATAATTTTTATTATCTTTCATATGACACCAATATTATATATATAGAATTTAAAAAATAAAATATGTGTTTTTATCAATTGGAGATTTTAATGTTCAATATTTTTGTTAAATTTCTAAAATTAAGACTTGATGGGTAAAATATCTTTTTTACATATTTGAGTTATTTATTTAGAAAATAGGTATAAAT